TCCGCATAAAATCTCAGCCACAACAACCTGTACCACCAACTCGAAGATCATCGAATATGCCATCGCAGCCAATTGCTGCTAATGCTCCTTATCGTACAGTAAGTACTCCTAGTATTAACAAATTACCACAACATAATCATGTTGGCCCTGAACAGTACAATCAGCCTCGAATTAATCTTCCACCAACACGTGGTGTTAGTCAACAAGATTTATCGACCGTTGGTAATAATGCACAACGTGGAAATTTTGTTCGAAATGGTGCCAATGATAACATCCCATCAACGCGGGGTATGAACCCTAGCAATCGTACGCAATCTCTAATGGCTATCAATAGTAACGGCGCTTTACCAAGGCCTCAAAAATTTTCAACATCGTCAATTTCAGAAGAAGCTGATCCTTCTGATATGACATTTGCAGCAAGGCGTGCAATGTTTTCGTAATGTATTACTTTAATTCATTAGCGCATATTAATGGCTCTATTTTACATAACTTGTTTAGATAATATTGTATTTGAAAAAGTATCAGACTTGTATCATTTAGTGTTTATATATACATATATATATACGTATATACAGTATACACAAATATATATATACAAATATATAGATATATATATATATAGGTTCTTGTATCTACATGGATATGATATCATGGTATTGTTTGACACGAGTATATGAAATGTACAAAATCAAATGACAACAATGTTAACACTTTTTTATGCTGTACTTTAGAGGTCATGATATTTATTGATTTTAAAATATTATTAACATTCTCCAACAGCGTGTATTTTTGCTATATCGCAACTTTTTTATATTGTATTTCCGAAGAATTTATTAAAGTTATAAAACAATAATTCAATGACGACACTTTACCCTGGTTATTAGATTTTTCATATTGTATATAGTCGATTGCTTTAACTGTATTAAAAGTGGAACTGCACTCCGGTTGAGGATAATCTCCATCACGCAGTTTATTTGCGATAGTGTTTGCTGACAATTTTTTAATCCCTAAACAATAATGAAAATTTGTTTCTATAATAAATTCAATAGCACATGATTAATAATTTCCTATAATTACCTGTTGCATAAGCTTTCGTTCACTTTGATCAGAAACTAACTTCAATTTCTGTAGAAATATGAAATAAATCATTGCATTGAATAAATATAACAAAATTTCTGTAAACAATTCAATGAGAATCTTACATTAAATTTTTCTGCGCTAAAACCAATGATTTCTGAAAGAACCTACATATGAATTAAAATTGATCAACTTTGCTTTTTAAGATATATCTTATCAGAACTAGTCGATAAAAAAAATCGTATCTTTATAAGACGAGAAGCATATTCGAACCTGATCACTAACATCGACGTCGAGATAGCTTGTTCCATCATTTATTCTTGCTTTTACATGCCACTTATTACGACTATTTAAAGGTGATAACAATGTAGAAAAATATGCCTATATTGCAAAGAATATATAAGTACCGTACAGTTATGGTCATTTATTTGCAAAAATTAAATACAAGCATTACACATATGATAGCCAAATTATTGCCCACCTTAATATGAAAGGTAAAGGGAAAAGTAACACTGTTCTTTCGTAGGTCATTTTCTATGTCTATCAAATATAGTATAGGATTTTCAGAATCTACGGTTGATATTAGTTTAGTATTTTGCATTTCTGAAAGTTTATAAGCATCGTTTTCATTCTTAATTATGCCGCTATGACTGGGTTGCAAATTGTCATTATTGCTTTTAGTGGATCCAATGGGTAATACATATTCTCTTTTGATAGTAGACGCTTCAATTTTCACATCTACTTTACTATTTTTAGGTTTTTGAAAATGTTGAGAAAAGATATCTTCATCCATTGCTAACAGATCAGCATCGTCAAAGTCATCGTCAACTATAAATATATCTTCATTTTTGCATGATTTATTGCCTAAACTTTTGTCTTGCGGGATGTTATCATAAACTTGTTGGTGGGTATTGATGCTTGCTGAATAAGGTTTTTTAACCCATTTTTCATCGTTGTTGAACTTATTGCGCGGAATACTCAGAGGATTTATAGTCTCATTGTTTGCATTGATAAATTCCATTGGTATAGGAATATTTTGATTTATCTTTGTAGCTAATGGATGGTCATCAGGTAGATTCCTATGATTTAATAGTCGAAGATATGGATGTTATACTAATTTACTTTGGTCAATACTATGTGTTCATGTATTAAAGCTATACACGTATTTACGCAGACTTAAGCTTACAAAAGCTGTCGCAAGCGATCTTGATGGCCTTTACCATCTAAATTTGGTAGGCTACCTCCTAATAATCGGATATTTTGGCTATCAAGTAAGATCATTGCCGATCTCATGGTCACAGGGCCAATAATCAAAATCTACATTAATCAGATTGTCATAAATTATCAAATTACATTTCAAAAAAAAGTATATACTGTACTGTACTGTACTGTACATACATAAACACAGCATGTATATTTTAAATAGTGTCTATTGCATATCGGACCTTTGCACCTATTGGAGTTTTGTAGGATAACTCTGGTATAGGTTGATACTCCATTGCTTCTACATCTCGGATACCATCATTCAGCGTTAGGAGGAGCATTCTGGTGGGTTTCGGTTCCCATTTCTAAATAAATACAAGAATACTTGTAATATGTAATCTAGTAAGACAACGTATGTTTATACCATGGACATCTACTTTATGTACGCGTATACTATATTTCAAGATAATACAAATCTTATTACCTTATCGTTATTATCAGCTTCCGAGAAATCGGTGTCATCGTTTCCTTGGCATTGTCGTAATTGCGAATAAGCGGATCGGCCGATATCATATAGCGAATCCACTTGCATACAGATTTTACCATTTAATTGAATTGTTGATTGTGTAGTATGAGCATTCGTTAAATAACCATTTGATACATCTCGAATATCGCTGTGTAAGAATTTCCGGTATAAACTATCTCGATCATTAGTTGATTTAGCCTAGTCAGGGATATCATCCAGTAAAATAATGCATGTATTAGATTAATATGTACTTGCATAACACCAATAGAATAGTTTGCACACGGTACGTCTTCAAATAGCAATCAACATGACCTACATTATCAACAAAGTTGTCCTTACTTTACTAAATAATTATAAGCAAAACTAAAGCAATTGATGCTCTATTGATGATTTGTAGAATATTGAAGCTTTCCTTTCAGCCTTCTCTACTACACCATTTTAATAAGGTATTACCTGGTTGATGTTGGATTTTAACCAATCTTCTCGAACATTTAAACCAAATTGCTTGGCGAACCATTGTTTTAGCTCTTCCATGATTGAACTAGCCTACTTCCAATCCGTTGCTGGCATGAGGAAAATTATATCATAATAGAAAGGCTCTACAGTACTATCGATAATCTGAAATAGTAGATGATCTTAGTGATGCTCTTCACCTAAGAGTTCAAAGGCAATTCATTTGTAAAGCCTTAAAAGAGAACCCTAAAAATTGTTAATGTTGAAGTATTACTATTCGTTGGTGGATGAGCCTTGGAGCTAATTTATCTTGGCCGCTCTCTCCTTCCAGGCCGCTGTCCGTACCGTATCCTATTTTGTCTCCCAGGACAATGGGACGGACGGCTAGAAGGAAACCTTTTTTCTGTTAGTCGTCCAGTCTGCTAAGTCCTTACCGTACAGTACTGTACAGTACAGTACTGTACACTACAGTGTGCAGTTACCTGTACACTAGACTCTCTAAATTTTGGAGTTGAACTCTATTTCGGTACTGAAACGTCTGAAGCATCAAGTCAAAATCTATAGGCTGAAAGATGTAGCGTCCTGTACAGTACAGTATAATACAGTATTTAGTACTGTAGCCAAGGGCTCCTTGCCACTGGGCGGGGCTACAGTGCACAATATATAGTACTGTAACCTACAGTATAATATACTGCGCATGGTACAGTACAGTACGCGTGAGTGATTTCCACTGTAGTCTACAGTACTATACTGTACTGTACCGTAGACTGGACGATGGCAAAGCTGCCATCCATTTATTAACTGAGGAAAGGAAATTTGTAGCTCAAAAAGTAATTTCAACATTAAAATGGCGACTGATCCTGCTGCCAAAGAGAAGATAACGATAAACTGCCATAATTTTAGCCAGTTTCAGGTATGCTTTTTAATTGAAAAATGACTCCACAATCCTGTTGTGGAGTCAGCTTGCTAGTGCAAAATCATCTGTTGTCGAAAGCTGTTAGTAACTACGATACCGTACAGTCCATGCGGCAGAGGTGATGATAAATTCGAGAAAATAAATCATCTTCTACATATAGATACATCAAGGTAGAACAAATGTTCAACTTACAGTACGGCTATGCAAGATGGATGAATTCGCTCATCAGTTGCTATTATTGGCTGATAGCTGAAAGGTTTTCATTTCTTCTAAAGTACACGTAGGAGTTCGATTCATGAAGGTGTTGCGACTAGACGAAACATGCAAATGTGTTGCATCATGGACACGTAGGCAGTCTTGATTCATTAGCCATCAGTATGTTGATTGTGATGGATTAGTACTTTAGCATTTGCAAAATACTGTACTGAATATTGGCAGGTCTATGGCAATCAATTTGCGGTAATGACACTGCGAGGTGCAAGTTTAACTTAGAATATGTTATCCTGGCTTACCACTAGCTTCTAGTCGCCAGTACATTGTATATTACTGTACTCTTCATCATTTTAATAATAAGCTTGCAGTGCCAATATAGAAAATATCAAAGCTACATAATGAATACATACGTTTGGCACTCTAGATGTCCTGTAAAGTGAAAAGATATGAAGTCAGAAATGCAAACTCGTCATAGTTTATTAATAAACCAGCTAGATCGATTCATTACCAGCATAATCTGCAATGAACTCTTCAAAATATTGTAACACTACCTTTATTTTATATCCATTCTTTATAAATATTTTATATATAATAATTATCGATCTTGCGTTTAGAGTCGTTATAATATTTTACAGTAGATGAAATTTTATCTTTCTGAATATCTGGTAATCTCATAACGATAGGATGCATTGCGAACATTACGCAAGATTGATGATACGATAATATACAAGTTAAATAATAGTGTCCCAACGACGTCTTTCGAGGGGGAGGTGGACGCTGGTGCTCAATGCAAAGACTTACATCGACAGGTACTCATGAATATTCAATGTCAGAAGGGACTTATTACATATTCCCGCTAAGCAGTATTACAGTCAATAGATATCTCCACCTGGAACTTGTAGACGACGATTGTTAAAATACAAAGGCTTAAAAATATTATAAGTTAAAACGATCAACTTAGATTGTAATTCGATACAGAATGATGCAGTATTATTGGTTTTATTCTAACCTATATAACGTAATACATAATTTAACGTATTATCAGTTAACAGCTGCGTATGTGGATCGAGAAAACACCATTCGTAGTTGCATCAAGACTGTAAGCAACAGAGTGACAACATTGCGTGACCAGAGAGATAAAGATCCAGACGACCTTGACGCTATGAAGGAATTGAGAGAAGAGCAATGGAAGGTAAATTTATCGGGTTTTAAGATGTATGCGCCATCATTTCTCGTTTAAGATCCATTCTTATTTTGCAATTTGGGTATAATAGCTGCGACAAATGCAAAATGAATTAGGAGTAGAAGAAGTTGTCAGGAATCGATCTTTAAAGGTAATAATTTGGTTTACAGCTAAATATGACCATTATAGAACACATTTTAGATTTTTGTAGTACTGTATAGTATTATCCTGGCGATAGTATCAATAATTGCGAGACCTAAACTATTAAAATGAGTATTACAAAGGAAAGCCAAATAACTCACTTCGATGTCATAACTAAAGCTAGCTCTTGAAACTTAATTTATTTGTTGATCGTGCAGAATTAACTCTTGCTAAAAGTATAGTCTTTTCCAATGATATTCCTATGATCATTATCTGTTTTCTGTAGGTATTTAACGAACGTTGCTGGAGAGTATTTAAACCCGAAAATGAAAAATTTTCAAGTTGAAGATAATTTATACTAATGCCAGATATAGGCTGTGCCACAAGTATGGGAGACGAGAAACAATTTTATTGCATTTTATCAAATTTCAATTCTTTTTTGATATCTGTATAAAAGATAGACTTTCATGGTAAATAAATAACAATACATAATAAAATTTTAAATCAATTTCGAAAAATGTTGTATTGCGGCTTGCAAATTGATATCTAAAGTATTGGTGATTCATATGGCCTTTACAATGAAGGGAAACTGTGTGCAGTCTTATGAGACGATCAACTTATCCTAAGCCAGCAAATTGTTCATGAAAACCTAATGTGTAATTTGTTCAAGAAATTTCTGACCAGATCCGAAATTTTATGTAAATCATAGATAAAATTAGCACATCTTTCTATTTTATTACACGAGTATTAGGCAAGTAAATACTGTAGTTTAAGCCTTTACGTATAATATTATTGGCACGACTGTTATTTTTATAAGTTCTCTAAAAGAGACCGGAATAGAGAAGATCGTTTTACTACTAATGATGGGGTAAAAATTTTACTTATTGTAGTAATTGTATCTAGAGGACCGATAACGATGTCATCGACATGGAAAAGTTTAATGTTGGCTATTACGGTACTATCGGTTTCATGAAATACGGCAGTATCCCTTTCTAATGTCCGAGATCGTAATGTACGTTTACTGTATTCTCTAATTTCCAACTAGGCCTGGCCAGGTAATTTTTTTATTTGTTCATTTGCTGCTACAGAAGGAGTAACCCTTATAAGCCCAAAATGCCCTAACTATCGTATTAAATACAGGATCACTAATGAATAACTTGGGCTGAGTAATTACTAAGAGACATCAATAAGGTGGAATAAATTTGAGCTTTACTTGCCTATTTGAAAGATAAGTTTGGTAGACGAATCTGCTTTGAACTATCTTGCAGCACTTCAGTTTATTTTCCTATTGAATAATCATTTGGCCATCTGATATGCTCACTTTTGACAAATGTGAGTTAAGTCGTACCGTTTGTTAGGCGAAATACATGTTGTATTTAGATGACAAGCAGTGTCATTACTAATTCAATTAAATGCCTTTGAAGATTTCTTAAGTACTGACTGGTAATACCGGGCTTTATGATACATTTATAATCTATCATTATGTACGAAAAACTGAACTATTAATAGTTGTGATTTTGCTACAGTTGCATACTTGCTAAATGGATACTCTTATACAGTCTATAAAAAGATATATACTTATGCCTGTAACAAATGTTACTAAATAGCGTCATACATAGAAATTTATGAATAGATATATTAACTGTTTAATGATACGTTAAACGAAAACTCTAGATTAATTAGATTAATTATGTTAAATATGACCTAAAATTGAACTTTAGAATAGTTCATGCATAAATAAAATTACATTCAGATATTAATCACGTGAATGATTACGCTTAAAGAAGGTTATGAAAATCTATCAATGCGAAGAAAAATTGCTACGATTTATTGATATTTGCGATATGATGATAAATTTTTGACTAACGCAATTTATCTAAAACACTCCTTAACTTATGAGTACAACAACCCTTGTTAAACATATCATTACAAATCTCATCAAGTTTTATTGCTAGTGATAACATGAAGATTATATTCCTGTATTTTATAGTTTTCAACAATGCAATGCAACATCTTATTATCATTAATATTTTGTCTTTTTCTGCTAGTTAGAATAACATGTATAATATATATATTTAACTGATCTATTGTACTGATGTAGTTATCTTGACAATGAGATGTATTAGATGTAATTCCTGCTTAGATTAAATTATGAATATACTGTACTTTCACTTATACTACCGTATGTTTGTGGTACTGCGGAAATATATCGATGCAATGTCGCAATATTCGTTTAAGGCTTATAAATAGACGAATTTTAGACGAATCATAGCAACATTTCCTTTAACAGAAATATTTTTACCAGTTGGATATATCTAGATTTAGTATGCATGCAACTTGCAATAAATTAATAAAGACCGCAACTGTTAATGCACTATAGGGCAAGAATGCTGTAGTTGTAATTTTTGTAGCCTGGAAAATAGCTACAATAGCAGCTATTTTAATCAACCGTGGGCATACCTAATACTAGACTTCTAGATGTTCGAACACTCAAAAAAGAAAAAGAAAGTTAATTGTGTGCTTGGATCTACGACAATAGCTCTTATTTATTTACACAATTGAAACAAAGAGATTACCGATAGTGTACTGGTGAAATACTAACTAGTGATAATACTCGACTATTTATAATGATATAAAAATTTGCACGATTTCGGGGCGATTGAACTTGTCGATAACTTTTCAGAATTCTACCAGAATTTAATTTATAATAGTATTCAGTTAATTTAAGACTGCTTTCATTTAAACATTAATTAAATACTGTTTTACTAATATGATCGATCTCAAGATACATATGATTTACTTAATTTTATGTTTACGTATGTATCCTCAGGCTGTCAACATATGTCCGACATATGATAGTTTGATCGTCCACACATGTAGCAGCTACAATTATTTTATTGTACCTTATTTCGAAAATCTGTCACATAAGCATATTACAAAAATATGGATTAACTCAAAATAAGCTATACGGATCTATTTACGGTAAATATATACACAAATTGTAACTGGGGGAAGATTATATTTTTGTTATTAAATTCCACAGCTGTTCACGGTATGTGATGCAATTAATGAGTAATACGGTAACCACTGGTTAACAGCTGTTTTATTCAGTACACAACTTATATTTGAAGCTTGCCTAAAATGTCTACAACTTCATATGCGATATACATTGCCATATATATACTGTGCAGATCGTGATTATAATCGAAAATAATTAAATGACCATCCTTATCAAGATTCTAAGGTCGAAGAAACAATGACGGAAAAAATCTTCAAGTACTGTCTATTATACGACTGCAATGTATACAGGCATTTATACTCAATAACGAAACTAGTATCAGTATCGTTAGAAAGAATTATACAGATTTAGGATACTGAGATGAATAAATCACTAGAAATGGTATCTATTTTCTATATCATATTGTAAATAGTTGTTGAAAGTTTCTAGACCACTATCTGTACAGTAATTCCGAATTTCTTAGCATTGTAACTTGCGTTTATTCTTACATCTGATTGCATCGTAACATTGTTTAATAAATTGCAAGTTTATATATACAATCGGATATCATTATAATCGAAACCAGAGGTAGACAAAAATCGTCATAAACTGCTAGGGTATATATTCAACCGACTTTTCTATATATGTAGAGTACATAATATTCCATTAACTGATGAAGTCAATAAAGTGTATTACAGTTTGCCATATGATATATTCATAGCTTACTGTTTATCTCAATTTTCGGCTTGACGTATAAGATTGCAGTAATAAATGTTAAATACATTTTGTTCATACAAGCACATGAAAGTACTGATTGATCGTGTAATTTGGAGATATATAAAGCTTTGCAGCTTTAATTTTATTATGAAATTGTAGTAGAGAGTAATATATTTATAGTTAATCTAAATCTTATTGTAACTTAAGCAGAGGAATAGGCATTCAAGTTCCATTGCAGAATGAATCGGAAAGAAAAGTTAAGCGAGAAATAGCAAATTTAAATGAAAGGCGGAGAATGGAAAATATTAATACCGGATTTCGTGCATTAAAGTCGCTCATTCCACACACTGAAGGTGATAAGCTTAGCAAGGTAAGACTATCATAATTTCCCATTTTAGACTGTAATAATACTGATATCAAGTGTACTTATGCTAAAAAAATGATATAGTATTTCGATTACGCTTTGTAATATTTAAAGCAGACTATTTAATTTTAGTAATTATAAAGGATAGCAATATGGTAACTGTACCTATCGTCAATGCTTACAAAGTAATCACATCATTATCTTGGATAAAATCTATTATACCAGTTATCAATAGCACGATGTTAAGTAATCATAATAATCATTGGAATGCAAGGCATACTATCTATTAGTTGATGTTGTATTTGCTTGCTATATAGAATAAAGACTAATAATACCCATTAGTTATACAGTGGCAACCATTCTATTAAAATTTAAATCGTGTATGATAATATTAAAAGTTGCATTATGGTATAGTATAACCATTTATAGTAATATAAATTAAGAGTAGGGCCAGCACCTAATGTATTTCACTTAAACCTCGAGCTCTGTTTTGGTGCTAAAATATGGTAATGGCTAGTATGTGTAATATGTGTATAGGCTGAAGGATACGAATATACTGCACTATGCACATACATACATATAACTATAATTTATGGTATGACCTATGCACGCCTAGACCATAAGATTTTATCGTAATCTACTGTACAGTTTTGGAATACGATTTATTGATAGACTATACATGATAGAGTTAGATTATGTTATTTTTAAATTTGCTTCTTTATTTATGACTTGATGCAGTGAATGCTTTAGATAACGAAATAATGACCATTGCCGCAGATATGTTATTTAGCCGTTACTTTATTAAATAGTCTCAATTTATTTGCCAGGCTGCTGTTCTGCATCAAACAACGGAATATATATATACGTTAAAACAAGATAGAAATAAATTACTTGGACAAAATGCAATGTTGAAGCAGTTGTTGTCGTCAAGTGATGGTAGTAAGGAAGTGGTATTACCTTACAGTTGTAAGCGCGCTAGGACTGAAATAGAAGACAAACTACAAAAATTGGAGAATTTTATAGGAGAAGACCAATCTCTGTTTATTCGAGAAATTAAAAGAGATATCATAGAGTTAGTAAGCCAATTAGATCGTGAAAGAAGACTTCGAATGATATTAGAAGAGCAAAATCGAGCACTTGAACGTCAACTATATCCCGATTGCCAAGTATTCAATTTCGATAATTATCGGCCAACGACTGGTTGTTCTCAAATTGCAAGTCATTTTAGTGACAGCGCAACTGGTGTAGCCAATTGTCCTAATTTATACAATAGTAATAATCTAGATGCAATGGTGGAAGCAATTAGACGAATAGAAGGTGATAAGACATTTGATCAGAAATCTTATTAATTGAAAATAAGTGATTTTCTATGATTGGAAATGGGAAATTGATTAGAAATAAGATTTAATGTATGTAACCCCGTAATTATTTCATTAGCAGCACGTCTGTTAACTTGTATATCATGATGAGTGTAAATTATAGTATTTCCCAGCTTTATTACAGGATTTCATTACCAAAGCCAAATGATTGTCGCGCTATGTATTAGTGTAAGTTGAAATTTTAATTGCAAATGATAGCTACAGTATTTTCAACTTCAAATAATTGTAAGTATGGCATAACTGTTAATACTGTGGTTGACTATATACAGTATATATATATATATACTAATGGATGACTCGAATGTATCTGTAAATTCTTTGAAAACTACAATATTGTAAGAAAAAAAACTGTAATTTTCCCACCTAAATTAAGGTAGATATCAGTATACGAAAGATACTGTTACCCTAACTGTACGAGAAAAAGTGCTAGTTATTAGCTCGATGCATTGAAATAAAATAAAACATTACTGGGCTCCTGCTCAAGTACAGTATATTTACATGGCTTTACATCTTGACTACATCAAAGATAGAATGAATGAATTAATTATTAGCTATTCAGAGGCAGGCTTATGGGATTGATGATGATGATGATGATAGGAATAGGATACAGACATGCTGTACGGCAATAAATCACTATCATCAGTTCATTCCATACTGTAGCTAACTAACTTGTCTAGTTTGGCAGCATACTTGTGAATAGCAAAATGTGCGGTTACAGATGTACTGTACTGTACAGTACTGTATAGTGCAGTTAAAATGACTAGCAAAAATGTTGGCCCTCCTATTTTTACCAATACTGTGAATTGTGGTTTCCTTTCCCTCTAGTTTACAGTACGTGAGCTCAAGCTGGACTACATAAGTACTAGGTCAAGGCATAGGCGCACTTTAGCCTATGCTTACGCATGCAATTGGCTTTGGCTGGTTGAACTTCTAACTATAATTTGTCCTATGAACATTTCTATCCGACTACAGTACTCTCAAGCATGAAATCTTTTCAGTTCCATTTCAGTTGCTCTATCTTTGTTTTAAGATGAGTTGGGGCGTACTACGACTGGAAGTAGTGCTATACCAGTGCAATACCTGCACTACCTAAAGCAAGCTTTAGTGTAATGCCCCCAAGAAAAATTGATGTGACAGGTCCGAGTAAAATTTACTCGGTATCCGTTGTCACACGGATAAGAACAGATACTACACTTGATCTTAGCCAATAGGCCGAGAAGCGATACCGATTGAGTATACGGTCGGCCTATATATTACAGTATGGATTTTCTTCACTTATGGTTTCAACTAATTTGCATATTATGATTTGCATACGATAACCTGATTGGCTAACATACAGTACGTAAACAATAGTACAGCACAGTACGCTGTCGAAATGTACTGTACGGTATGATACAGTATAGCGCTGTACAATGTACAGTGTACAGTACGTCCACACGTTTTTTTCCAAAGTACAGTACAGTACTGTACAGTACAGTAGCGCTTTTTGAGTACTGTGTACTGTACACAGTACTACAGTACAGTACAGTACTGTACAGTACTACTGTACACACTGTTTACTGTACAGTACACTACAGTACGTACTGTACTCAGGCACCGCAAGCATGTTTCAAGGCATCGCGCGTGCGCACGATGAAGCCACCCAAGACCGGATCGGTACAGTACGCTTATGCGGTCATCGTGGAGCATCTGCGATTAATTTGCATAACATGACGAAAGATTGACCAGAAATCCTTCCGATCCTAAATTAAAAATGGTTCGATTAAATCCTTTTAGCTTTCAAATTTCAACTGTGGGGAATTGATTCATTTTATATCCGATAGGAATATCACTAAATGTATAATTTTGCTGCTTTGATTGAAAATTTTAGGCGAAATTTATTGCTCAAATGATCGTCATCGGTGCTCAAGTAGTGGGACGTGCTTTCACTCAAGCCTTACGTCAAGAATTTGCGAGTAAGTGACTCGATGCCCTAGAAGATAGACAGAATGGGCGTCTTGTATCATCGTGATAGTTGGATGATCTTGTCCTTGTCGTAATTTGATCCCAAAGTTGACTAGTTATAATAAGAAATACTTCTGTCTTACTATTTTATAGGCAGTCAGGCTGCCAGGAAAGCTGCCGACTCAACTGGCACCAAAGAGGCAGCTAGGAATAGCCTGCTTGGAATGTCCTTATCTGTAAGTTCCATCTACCGTATGTAAACGTTTAATATTAAGATCTTTTGACTTTGGTAAGAATGTTAAAACATTATAACATAAAATGAAGATTATATCTTCACTTGTTACGTATTACATATGCCTTATCAAAATTTCGGGTCCATATCATTGATTTCAAATTTCCTGGAGCATTCTAACGTGATGACATACGACTCGTGGTCGCCAGTATTTCACACGCGATGCAATCCCGTAGTTCAATCCAATTTTCCTTGATTAGTTTCTTAGATCATCTATTTCCCGTTCAAGGAGTAGCCGCACATAATAAGGCTTTAGGTTATCTGGTTACAGTGTACCTTAAATTTTAATCCACATAGCCTTTACTATTCTAAATCCTAGTTTCAACAGCTATATTTTAGGTTGTACAATGTACATAGTGCAAACTAGCAGTTCTTGTGAAGAGTATACGCGTACTCGTAATTTGACCATCTTTTTTAACTTAAAAGGTTGCTAAATACTCGTAAATGCGGTGTAGCTTCATAAAATGCAATGTGGATATGAGATTGGAAGATTAAAGTATGCCCACCCACTTTCAAAAATGTTGTCTGCATGTGAAGATAACTAGTGATAGATTTTTAGCCTCAGTTGATAATAGAATAGAATTCCTTCGTGTCTCAACTGCACGGTGATTAACTTAACGTAATCGCGTTACGATCAAGTTACAGTATAATATTTCTGATAGAATGTGTAATTATACAGTAATTTGTATCGTATATATAGCTTATGAGTACAGTACGTATGATAAGTGTGTGTTGATTACTGCAGATTGAAATATTTTTCGTTGTTAGCGGTATTGAAGCACTTTAGAACTACGAGTATACATTGGATTAAACTTAATTATGATGCTACAATTCAACCTGATATTCTGTCTAAACTAGGAGGCAAAGAAAGTTTTAAATATCCAAAAGTTAGATCCGGAGCTGATACAGAAGGTATTTACTGTTAATCTCATAATTTATGTTACAATAATTTGAATTTGGCCCTTTGGCTCCTAGAAGTTGTCTATTCCATAGTTAGATATATGTATTGCATGTTATAGACTGTAGGGTGTTTTTCAGGTAAGCAGTAATTGAAGCATCAGGTGTAAAGTTCAAACAGCGGCTTGTTAATTAGAATCTTTTTATAAATTATGACTGCCAAGAGTACTGTACACACACAGTCAATTATAGAATCGCCCTTTACCCATTTCGGCATTGAATTACACGCAGTCTTTTATTTTTACCACCGTCATCAATATATGATATATAAATATATATACGTAGAATGTAGATATATAGATGTATACTTAAAAATTCTTAAAGGTGTTGATGTTAATGTAATTTGCTTTCATTAAACAAATTTTAGAGTTTTGATCATTTGTTCAAAGTCAACGATAAAACTGCAGGTGGATCATTTTACTTACAATCGAAGGTATTTATGCGGTATTATTTAGAATATACATTTTAGAAAATTTATACCGTTATAATGGCTGTCATGAAATGAAATTATGACCCTAATAACACCGATATTTGCTCATTTCATGCTGCATATCTTATCGATAATTTCGTTAGGTGTATCGTGCTAAAGAGAGAATTGACGCAGAAATTTCGAAAGATGCTAAGAGTGATAACGTCAATTCAGATGGCAAAACCTCATCAGACGGCAAAGCCACATCAGATGGCAAAACCGAGTAAACAGACTACGGAACCTGAGTTGATTTTTGGTGGTTTTTATCCATTTTAATTGTGGTTTTATTTAAAGTAAGCGTTTCTGTATGATTCAAAACATGATATGTCTCTAAGATGGACATCGACAGCTTGATGAAACAAACCGTGAAATGTTTCGACCCACTAACGTTTTATTACAGTGTATTTGCGGACTTTAAAGTAAGAACTACATTACACTTACTACCGGAGAACTTTACGTTATATAGAAGAATCTTTACTCACTATGGAAACCTCGGATATTATAATTTTTACTATTTAAAATCGATCGCCTATCGATTGCATATAATCGTCTTATAACAGCGAAAATAGTGCTATGAGTGATAGCAATTGTATCACATGGCTAGATTCTGCCTGAAAACATGAGCCCGAAATCATTTATGTTTAAGCTAGCTGCGTATAAAAAATTTTTCAACATAGAATCAAACGTTGTAATGACAGTTTTAAGTTAATGTTATTAATGCTATATTGTACAGATATACAGTAATGAATTATATCTCTTCCGCGTTACATATGTTAACACTATTACTGAATACCTGATCAATTATCTGTTTGTAGTACTGTACGGATACGCCTTATTACTGGGTAAATAGTAAACACTGTAATTACAGTTAACCATTTCGGTATTTAAGTACTACGTTACTGCACTTGCCAAATACTGTATTATTTTTTACTGATTTGCAGTACTATTCTTCATGATTAAAGTTCGAACTATTTACGGAGGCATTTGGTTAATCCTGTTCGATACTTTTGTAATTTAATCTCGTTAGCAAATAATAAACTTGTACAAATGGATTTAATTCATGTTTGGTATTGTTTATACATAAGGGATAAATGTACAGTACATGTAAAATAAGACCACGTAGTATCTCTGTGATTGCGTGCAATATGTGTTGATCTCACCTTTATCCAACAATTATTCACTAAACAGTCTTAAACGTTTGCAGATGTTGATAAGCTCCCATTTAAAAATCAAAGATGGAACGTACAGTACCTTTTACTAATGTTCATATCCTGGATCTTACTAGTCTCTAGGGCTAGTAAAGCTCGCTCTCTTACTCGTATACTGTACCGTACAATTTAATTTTGACTACTTAGAATGCACACTGCGCATTCATAAAAGGAACTACGGTATCATCTTTCCTATGATGATTTCTTAATAAAGTATAAATAAAATTTATCATTCGATTGAAAGCAGTCGAAGTAATTGCAACAACGAGGAAGATTGAACGAGAAAATTTTTATTTGAAGGCCTAAATTTAAAGCCAGCACTACCAATATATAATACAAGAGCTTAGATCCGTATTAGATTCACCGGAATTGTCATTTCAATTATGCAGCTGAATGTACATAGTCCTATGAAACAGCAGATGTATGAATTCTATAGAAATTACAATCGTACAATAACAGACTTTACTTTATAAGATATATATCTATATACGTTTATACGCTACGTAAGCATTTGCGATTGAATACGTATATATCGATAAAATTAGATATCTTAAATCTTTTTCGAAAAACAAACTGATGTAGGTAAAATTCGGCAAACAAAATTTAGATGATTTTTATATTTGTTCATTATAGTACGAAGTAGGAAATGATTTCCATAATTAAAAAATTCGTTGTGCTAATATATATATTATATTAAAAGCCCATTATTAGAATTGCATTTTAGAGATATATATTTTTGGATTAGCTGAAAAGCTTCGTTAAAGCTGTTATACAGTGCTATAGTGTCAACGTTACGAGAAATTTTTTTGGTTGCTTTTACATTCTTGGATCAAACATTATAAACAAGAACCCACGGTCCATAAAATTAATTTCATGAAAATGGATGATGCTACTAGTTAGCAATAGATCAAATCATTTTACACAATGGTTATTCAAATAAGATGTATTGTTATCATCAACGAGAATAGATCAACAACATTGGCGTTATTGTTAGAGACAATAATGAAATGATTCAAATAATTTAAGCCGATACAATTAAACAGTCAAGGCATACAGTAAAAGTTATGCTAATACAATACGACAGTAAGGGTATTGTATAAACATAAAAATAAAAAACAATGTCATGTACAGTGCATATTAACAGAAGGAATGTCTGCATATGCAGTTATACTGTACAGTATATGCGTATATGTAGTATACAAGCTGTACAGTACTGTACTCTATACTGCAATACTAGCAAATGGAAGTATTATGCAAATGAAGCCAAAATTGATTTGCGCTTTACAATAATTGCCAATATTGGGACATTCAAGATAAATTAGTGATAAGTTATGAATGTCTTTTCATGTGGAGGGCTAAATGATCAGAGCGTGAAAAACATCTTTCACAGAAATTACATTTGAACGGCTTGGCACCAGTATGCTTTCTGTAATGCCTGGTCAACTCGTCTGATCGGGCAAATCGCCATGGACAAGATTCCCAAGGGCACTTGTAAGGCTTTTCGCCAGTATGAGTTCTTAAATGAGCTTTCAGATGGGAACTTTTGGTGTACACTTTATTACAGTTGGGATAGGTACAATGGTGGACACGTTTGCTGTTGGTATCCGTTGAACTCCTTCGATTGCCTGGTTGACTTTTGTCGGTTTTAGTCGATTGCACCAGAGGTGTACTGACGTAGGCCGGCGGAGGAATTTGTATTGGTTGTTGTTGCATCGGTATAAGAGTTTGCACGTAATGGCCAGCAGGAACAGTTACAACGACATTATTAGTTGATTGAACACAGTCTAGCTCTGCTACTTGCTGATTGGGGGTGTTATAGACCATCATGGGTTGTGGATGGAGTTTTTGATTGTTGTTGGGATATTCTTTGGTATCAACCCATTTGCATTCGTGTTGGCGTTGTTCGTATGGTTTAAATTCAAGATCAGTTCTTAGATATGTGTTTGGCATTTCTAAGTCAGCAAAGAATTGATTTTGATTGGTGTATTTGCAATTATCTGGATTGGCGCTGACTTCACGAAATAATTCATCTTCAAGCAATAGAATATCGTCAATAATAGACAAGTCGCTATTGCTGTTGCTTGGTGTTTCACATGAATCACTTGAACTAGAGCGTGAAGTATCAGTTGGAGTATGGCATTGATTGTTGTATTGCTCAGCACCTTGATAAATCTAGTTACATCAAAACAAAGCATAACTAATGAGAAATCCTATCAGTTGGTAAATTAAACTAAATACCAGAGGAAGGAAACACATTGAACTTCTATTAAGAGAACAGCGACTAGTAATGTTAACTTTCGGTCGTTTAATGTATTGCTGATCAACAAGTTAATTACAATTCAAAAAAAACTACAGCGTTCCAAATTCTATTAAAACTCATCCATCCTACAAACAGTGTACCATCGAAAGAACTCTTTTTGTAAAAGATAGAACTATTATTTTGTCATGCTATCCTAAGCTGGCTGCAACGAGTGTAACGTACTTTGCTCGTTGTCTACTGCTCATGATGATTCCTCCCCAAAATAAAAACATCAAGCTATCTACACTTTCTACTTATTTTTACCTGAAGCCATTCTTCATCCAACGATGGCATGTAATTGGAGTTGGTAAGGCCAGCAATATTATCGTAAAAGCTATCGGTATAGAAATAACCGAGCTCAGATGAAAGTTGATTTTGGATCGCGGTAGTCGACATGATGGTGAGCAATTTTGTTGTTGGATTGTGAACTGCTGTACACGATGTGCAATTCTGTTTATATAGGTAAGGTAGAACGATGATTGGCCGATGACACAATTTTTAATCATCCAAATATGGAGTTCTATTTTTAGTAACAGCGGAGTGGAGTATATAAGCAGCGGTCGCAGATCACTTTTTCCTATGTACGCTTGCGTAGCTTGCCGCTCTTCGCAGGGGCTCACAACAGCAATGACGTGGTTGCCGTGGTTACTTCATTCCAATGCTTCAATTGTTTGCTTGATTAATTCAAATCGCTCCAAGGCTACCGACCACGTGACGACAAGATTGAATGCAATGACAGTGAGATCGTCGACGTTGATGCACGCTTGGACGACGTGCTTGTACAACTCAGCTATTCAATCGTCACTCATTCAATCTGCGTCCATTTCATTGGCTAATCCATCGGTCTCATCCACTCATTAACATCGCTGTCTTTTCCATGGCAGCCAGTGACGAGATCCATTCCTTGATTGGATCTTGGCATGAAAGAATTACCGGTGATTTGATTATTTATTTTATATTTTCATTCACCATTTGAAATCCATGAATCAATGCTGAGATCGATGACGAAATTGATTTGTTACGGTACTTTCTATGATATCGCATGGATTGAAAAGAACTTCATTAAAAACGATTCTATGGGATATCCTGTAAACCAACCAGGTAGTCGAGTTGGCAGTCTATGGACTACGTGAATGAATTAACTTAGTGTCATGGTAGCGCATCCACAATCTCAATACGTAATAGTCCCAATTCCATATTTCGATTTATTATGGTACTTTCTATGATATCGCATGGATTGAAAAAAACTTCATTAAAAATGATTCTATGGGATATCCTGTAAACCAACCAGGTAGTCGAGTTGGCAGTCTATGGACTGCGTGAATGAATTGACTTAGTGTCATGGTAGCGCATCCACAATCTCAATACGTAATAGTCCAATTTGATATTTCTTCAACAGACTCATTTTACTTGGTATCATCATCTTTGGTTATGGATGATTTAATCTTCCATTAGATCATGATCAATTCATCAATCGATACATTTCACAAGAAAGTCAAAAGCAATTTCTAGTCCTAGTTCATGAATTCAATCATTGCAATCATATCCTTAAACCATGGCGCAAATTCCATATTGACGCTGGCATAACTATACTAATAAATGTTAGTGGTTGATTATTCTCCTTGTAGACGAATGTTGTCTTGTCTTCAAATTGTAAAGGGGTATCTATCGGTAGCAAGAGTCGTTATGATCGGCTTGAATAGGCCAACAACAGTAAGGGTAAGCAACTTACTGTCAGTAAACTCGTTCTAGGCTTACCATTCAGTGTAGAGAAAGTAGATTAAAACTGGGATATCCATGAAATGGACTGATATCATCTTTCAAGGGAATTTCATAGGGAACCCAGTCCATTTTACAAATGGATTGAAGAGAAAATAAAGTAAGTCAAATTGCTCTCATCTTATTCGCTCTTGACGAGCTTCCAATGAAATAGGAGTATGGATACAACTTACTACTGTAGTATCATCGGTTCAATGTGATAGATAGTCTAATCTGTTTTACAAATGGATTGGATAGTCTATATCCCTATATTTTCTCTCGTACTCATCCTAATGAAAGTCGATGACAACAAGGAAATCGATAGAGATGATTAACAATTTTATTATCTTTCCAATTTTATGGATATTCCAGTCTATTTTGACAATCTATATGTCAAGCAAGCTAAAATACTTTCATCATACTCAACGTAAAGAAAATACAGTAGATTCAAAAAAAATTCACGTAAAACTGATCCAGGAATCATTTAGACCATCTTCCAAATCGAAGGGATATTCCTATTTTGTTATTATTTTTATAATATATTTACACTAGATGAATCAGTTTTATTTTCGTCATTTTAACGAGAAAAAGAAGAACGAACAATAATAATCTTGCTTCTCCTAAAACATTAACAAGGGATGTTTATTAGTTTCTTAATACCTTTTGAAAATCCAACAACATCGCAATTGATTTTCAACATTGATTACATATGATGTTGTTATGGTATACCGTATTCTGCTAAGGATCGTGACTATTTGAGAAATTATTACTACAGTGGCCATAGTTCAAAATAGAAGATACTACTACTCCTATTGGATATTTTGCTAGTAAATAATATTCATTCCTTATTACTTTTCTGCTATTGCAAAGCTATGAGAACACCAGTATTTTGTAAACGCTGTATTCTATACGTATTAGAACACTGCCTTGCATTAAGATAGTGCATTTAAGGTACAAGGGGCAAACAGTCTGGAAATTATAAATAAAAATAAAAATAAAATAAAATATAAAATTGTATTAAACGACGATGGAAGAGATCTAGCATGCGATACGGTAATTAATTAGCTGATAAATTTAATTTTTTTTCTGCCTAAACACGATTTAGTTAACCGATTGTTCTATTGGAATAGTAAAATGTTATGATGATTTAATAATAATACAGTATGTTATTACTAATATGGATGGGCTGTATCAGATTATGCCGCTATAGTTAGTTCAATGGCCACCCATGAAGCTGTCGCCGTATATTAGATTATATGGATACGCCGTACGATTCTATGGAATCATTTACTTTACATCATATATTTCTATTATGTATTTATTCCATCATTTTCTTGTGATATTAATGATAATAGAATTTTTTCGTTTGTACATACACTTACTGTCTAACTGTAACACAATTCGTTTCAGCTTTTATGATGTTAATTAATGAACTACAAATAAAACAGTCAATAGCATAGGAATGTGCAATTAATAATAATTTGCATGTAGAATTCCTATAAGCTTTATGAATAAATTGAATTTATCAAATTACAGCGTAGTCTGAAGAAAAAATTTCAGATTAATTAGTCTTACGGAACTTATAAGTTGAGTTTAATTATCAAGCAAGTGCTGCCTAGAGTGAATTGTATGTACATTAGTGTTCTGTCAAATATAAAATTCCTATATAGCACTCCACGTTTGTTAGCCTCTAAAGGAGAATCAAAGTGATAGTTGTAAAAGATTCTTGAGTGCGTATAACGTTGATAAAAGAAGATAGAAGCAATCCTCCTAAAAATGATATTAACTTATACACCTAATATAATACAGATATTAATGATATTATACAGACAATCGATCTTTCTAGTTTTGGCCATAATCTATAAAATCATACTAGCTAGATGAAACAGACTGGCTTTTAGTAAACAGAAAAGAAATGATATCAAGGCATAGCCAAGTTGTTAATGGCATGCAAAGTCTAACATAAATGATGCTTTCCTATACTTTGTTAATACCATTTATGTTCTAGAAAAAGCTGGCGTTATTGCAACGTGACTAACGTCCAGTATACGCATACGTGACCAGTAGGTTAGTCATTTATTTTAACTTTCGGGTTAATTTTGATTACCTTCACTTTGAATTTCGAAAGTGCTGTTTGACTAATGTAATTCGCGATATATTAATCGAAGCCTGATAGCAGATATACGATACGTTTACAGTCGTTAATCCTGTGTTTTTCTTGTATTGGGCTACAACTACAAGGTCTATCCATTAAGTAATACCTTCCACTTGTTTATCTATTGAGGTGCGCATATTATGTTCTCACCAAATCAAACAGATCTATCTCAAGTCAAAGAACTGTCCAAAGTTCAATGATATCCTTCCAATTAATCGATTATGCTGCATAATTAGAACTATTTAAAGTGCTGAGGTTCGCTACTGACCTTAGTCAGCAATGTGATTCATAATAATGTAGTTAAATCGATACATCCAATGATATTACATTAATCTTTTACTAGAACTGAATTATAACAATAATAGGCGGCCTGTATTAAAAACATGGATACTTTTAAATATTTATGAATAACAATAGGATATATTAACAAATTGCGTAGCTCTGTAATGGTCTATTTTAGCCCCATGGTTCTTCTACAGAACAAATAAATGTATTATAATTCATACTTAAGGAATAAAGGGATGCAGCCATGCACTTAACCCTTAAGTACATATCCTCAGGCAAAAATGGCATTATTTTTTTACAAAGATTGCCTACCTGCTGCGTCAAGTAGATTCAATCATATAGTTGTTCTCTATTGCTAATTGTACGGCTACTAAAAAATTATTGGAAAACAGTTGAAAAAGCCTCCACCTAGTGACAAGTAGTGTGATTCGCTTTTAATGACGAAGAATATAAATTACTTTCATTCAATTTATGATAATGGAAAGTATTACTTAATGTTAACCGCAATAGGAGCTTGGCTAGGTAAATTAAAATACGGGTCAATTAAAATCATCACACTGTGGTTAATATATACACATTTGTTTCGATTTTTTTTAGAATAGAATTATCAATTTTAGATAGTTCGTAACGTGTAGACGGGGCATTTTTGGGCTTGAGGGTTAGTCTAATGATATAATTTAAAGTCTAATTAAAAGAGATGAAATAGCCTTAAATCTTTAAATCGCCCGTTGGTGCTACAGATACTGTAGAAGTAGCCGGTAATACCTTAGAATGAACCGTAGGATTAATATTGACTGATCCATTTTACATTTAGGGTTGATGAGGTTATCTATTGATTTAAGATAAAGATTCTGAATAAAGACAGTGCTAACTTACTACAATACGTTGAATCCCTATAAAATAAATTAATTAATTTATTATTAATGAACGGATAAAGTATGGAAGCTCTTTCAGTTTAGTAAGGTATCAATTCTATGCAAGCCTAATACGGATAAAAGCGTAGGCTTACACCCGATTAGGAAATTACCATTGCTATGGTAAGCAAATTGGATTAAATTTATCGCACCATTGAGTAGTATTTCAATTACTGTTATTTTTTGTATCGTGACAAGACAGTCTATAGGCTACAAAGTATAGAAAGGAATTGGTCGTTTTCAGTAGTAATCTGCTTGTATAATATTGACACTCGTTTTAACAGTCATACTGAATAATTTCCCCAAGAGACAAAATAGAAGCGACAAAAATGTCGATAGTTTCACAGATCTATTTTGATTCATGTTCAAATTGCCTGCTCTACATCAGTGTAACTTTCATTGCTAGCCACATAAGGATCATATGATGATGAAATATAACATACAATTGTTCATAGTATTTGAAAGCCATTTCGTGTTAAAGCTACATAAGTCATCATTTCACTCTCATTGACTTGATAGCGAACAGATTGTATGGTGTAATGGTTATGGAAGGTTGCAATGTTTTATTCTTCATTGATGTAGTACAAAATCTTCAATATAGTCTTAACAATATAAGAGCAATATTAAAGATTTCATTCTATGTCGTCTAAGTTCATTAATTGTTTGCTGTGGTAAAAACCTGCCAGATCAAAATTTCGTAAGGTACTAATTTAGAGTATCATTTCTTTTTGTAGGATAGCAAAATCGGCTACCCAATGAAAAATTATAAAAAATGGAATCGTCCTATACAGTAATTGATGTTACATATGTTAAAGAAGATGTAAAATTATCCAAGTCAGCGGTATTAGTTTACCACCAAAATTAATCAACCCTAATCATATCGCTATATTGTATTGATAATAATGAGTCCTCTTGGACGCCAAGGCTAATACAAAATGATCACTATTTATGCTAGAACATGGTCCAATAACATTTGTATGAAAAAATAAAAAATAACAGTGCCAATAAGATATAATTAGATTAAGAAGGTTACAATCTTATCTTGTGATACCTGTTCACGGTAATAGGTCACAATGAAAGTATATATTTTAAATAAATTTACATAAGATTTACATTGAACATTAAATGCTGAAAATCTTCATAGGATTGTTTTAGTGTATCGGGATAGTTACAACTTCAAAGATGATAATGATGATAGAAATAAGTGCGGAATATAAGTTACTACAAGATAGTAAGTTTCATTAGCCGCAAAAATAATAACGATTTTCAACTTATGACCATTGCTTTCAGGTCACGTCGATAATTTAAAATGCTTAAAACATCTTTTTGTTTGATCACATCTGCCATGGATAGTCGATTTGGTATGCTATCTAAATCTATTCTACGATCAGTTTGCACATAATTTAGCATTTTAACTGCGAATTCAACAGAATCTCGATGTGACTTATATGATGGAAATAACTTAGCGTGCCACAAATCGATTTTGGTTCCATTCGTCCAGATATCTGCAGGATTTAAATTTAAAACATTACGAATAACATGACTTATCTTTCGTCCAGCATAATTCAATGTATCTAGTTGTGATATATTTGATGTATATTTCTTAATATTATCTCCAACAGAGTAGGCAACAGTTACAAAATATTTTTGTGTTCCTTGTTTCACTGCCACACTATGGAGAAAGGAATTTTCTGGAACTGTCAGATTGGATGATAAATGAATATTACTTAAGATGCAATTCGGCTGGATCGTTACGTCATTTTCGATTAAGCAATATTCGACGATGCTTTCACCATACAATTGAACATTTTTGCCAATTTTAGAGTGTATAATGCTACATCGTGAGCCAACTTCAGGACATGATGCATCAGTAAGAGCATTTTTGCCCACAGTCATTACCATCGGGTGACAGCTTAATTCATATTGGAAATCAGTATTATTGCAGTAATGATTGAGATATTCCAACGTTGTGCCAATATGATAAAAAACTGAATTTTTAAACAACAAAACATTCAGTTGAGTGCCTTTTAGCCACTGAAAAATTTCCTTTCTAGTCTGAACGATCGTCTCGGTTACGTCTGTGATATTGCTGGTGTTATGAGTATAGTCATCGTTGGCTTCAGATCCTAGAGCTTGTAAGAAATCACCATAAGCATCGATTTCGCATTGTAAAGGTCGATGATTGAGGTAGTACTTTAGTAGAAGTTTAGCAGTATTCCGGTCCATAAAGTAAGCACTATCAGTAAAGACGGTATCGGCATCAACCACAGCTCCTTCCCGATGCATTACTTCAATACTAGGCTTGTGTAGAAAACGACGACATTTAGCCGATTGAACGCTAAATTCGGAGTCACTTTTATTGTCTTCTGCATTTAACACAAAAACACCGTGAGTAGTACCAATTTTTAACGGAGAAGGATGGCCTAGAGCAGTAAATCCTGGTTGATAAAAATCCCAGTTTCCATCGATAGTAAATAATTCGATGTCATCGGCGCAAGTTACAAAAACTCCAGCTTTCATTCGTGAAGGAAAATCAATGTACATCATCAGTTTTGCTTCAATCATTTGATATAGAGGATTTCCAAATGGTAAAGCCGTAAATATTTTTCCTACAATCAGTTTGAAAAAATAAATTGATTGGTTACTTATACAATATAATTGATTGACTAATTGATCGTCAACTACTGATAGAGTAAACATTTTACTCTTTTCTTGGTTACTGCTGCCAAAGTGTACATCATGGAATATTGAAGAATATCAATTTGATACTCTAGTCAATTGAGCTACTATTTCATTATTAAAATCATGTCGATATCAATGATAACTTGATAACAATAGTGATTTAGGTTTATTTTCACGATGGTTGGCTATTGTTACTTCAGGGTTCATTTTATGATCTTTGGTGTAATGTGTTGTAGCTCTGTTGATTGCACTATTTAATTTTAGACCCTTGGCTGTAAAATACAGCCATTGTCGTTTTATTCAATTCATTTCTAGGCCATACAGTTGTAAGATATAGGAGATGAATTATTCTTCAAGACTTTCGTAAACTATTCAACTTTACTTTCAGTGACTGGCTCTTTAATCAAAAATTATGAAGCATTGCTTGAATGGATCTTGTCCTAGTATCCGGTCAAACAGTTTATTAATAACGATACCCTGTCATTCAATTGAGGTTGTTCATACACTATTTATACAGTATGATTGCAGTCCCTGTTGTTAAATGGCAAGTGATTCTGGTATCCATTGGACTGAAGGAAATTTGGGGGAGACATTGTGGATAAAAGAGAAAGTTTGACTACTATACATGATGCAACTGGTATTACAGTCCTTACCTAACACACTAGCGCTAGGCAATCTTTGACTATAGCCACCAGCATGGATCATCAAGACCTTATAATTATCCAATTCTTTGCCATATATCTGTTCTAGATTATCAAGAGCAGCCATAGTCGATCCACCATTGCCGATCTTTAAACCAACAGGATCAGGGAAGACATGATACTTGACTGATGCCGGTAGTTCACACCCCATTTTCGCCTGCAATTGAGCCATATAAGCCACTTCTTGTTCACTATCAGACGCGGTAATGACGACAATATCCCAGAATGGGATTTCAAGTTCATCATCTTGGCGTACACTTTGGAAAAGATTTCTTTTTCGTAATGTTTCTCTCCTCAGTAGCTCAGACATGGCGGCAAATTGATGATTTCCCTCGGCAGCAAAATTATCCAAAGGGAATGCACCTTGGCTTGGAACTACCCACAGTCAATACACGATTATTATACAGTACACAGTACAGCCAGAGTAGTGATACTCGATCTCGGATTGAGCTTTTCCAAGTCCAGGTACAGTACTATACACTGTACACTGTACACTGTACACTGTAGTACTGGACTACACTCAGGATTAGACCTGAGAAAGGTTCGGGTAGTCCATGATCCAAAGTGAGCGATTTCCTGACCCAATTTCCTGATTTAAACCAAAATAAAATCATAAAAAGGCTCAGAACTGGAACAAATTGCATATCAAACGATAGCAGACGAGTCCATTTACGCGAATCCGTCATTAGAGTTGACGTACGGTGTCCATTTCTTGCACAGATTGCGTTGAAAGTGAAAGCGTTATTCTCCAAATTCGTCGTACACAGAACAGTACATGTCGAAAAGTTCTACTGACTGGATTGCGGATCGACGGATTCGCGCATTTTGAGTTGAAGAAGAAAGCAACAGCTCGGATAGAATCCGCTAGATGATTCTATTCTTTTAATCCGGCTCGAGTTCAATCTGTGAAACACTAGTGCAAGACCTTATTTGTAGCCATGCCATCACTTTTTGATAGTACTGTACGCCATTTAATGCTTTCTTCTTCAACTCAAAATGCGCTAATCCGTCGAACCGCAATCCAGTCATTAGAACTTTTCGACATGCACTCTGTATTGGGTTGAAGAAGAAAGCAACAACTCGGATAGAATCCGCTAGATGATTCTATTCTTTTAATCCGGCTCGAGTTCAATCTGTGAAACACTAGTGCAAGACCTTATTTGTAGCCATGCCATCACTTTTTGATAGTACTGTACGCCATTTAATGCTTTCTTCTTCAACTCAAAATGCGCTAATCCGTCGAACCGCAATCCAGTCATTAGAACTTTTCGACATGCACTCTGTATTGGGTTGAAGAAGAAAGCAACAACTCGGATAGAATCCGCTAGATGATTCTATTCTTTTAATCCGGCTCGAGTTCAATCTGTGAAACACTAATGCAAGACCTTACTTGTAGCCATGCCATCACTTTTTGATGGTACTGTACGCCATTTAATGCTTTCTTCTTCAACTCAAAATGCGCTAATCCGTCGATCCGCAATTCGGTTAGTAGAACATTTCGACATGTACTCTGACGTATTGAGCTGAAGAAAGCAACAACTCGGATAGAATCCACTAGATAATTCTATTCTTTTAATCCGGCTCGAGTTCAATCTGTGAAACACTAGTGCAAGACCTTATTTGTAGCCATGCCATCACTTTTTGACAGTACTGTACGCCATGTTGATTCATTCTGCAGATTGAGAGATGGCAAAGCGTACAGAAATGAATGATTGCTATCTAGTGTAATGAATCAATTTGTAGCCAAGTGGAAACCCGCGCATTTCTCCACAAAACGTATCAATCGATGACTTTAGACATAAATATCGAAATGGCATTTGTACTGTATATACGAGTATGTCAAGGTTGGGGGAGGTTTAGGGTTTAGTTTTAGTCAAGATATGTTAGGGTAGTTTTGGCATTAGAAGTTATTTGCATTTTTCTACATTGCCCGTTTGGCATACATGGCCCCATATCAGATACATAACTGGCGCATTATCGCCCCAATTTGAATGTGGCTTTATAGAGTTTACAGGTTAAAACTTTTTTTATCAAAGATCTTTCACCATTTTAAAGTCGACGGGGACCATCTACGTTTAATGCTGATTCCCGGAGGTATACATACTTTTCCCCTCCTACTGTACTCTCCGCTTGGCCGTAATGATATTACCAAAAAATCGGCTTCTACTTTATCAATCTAGAGTATTGGGTAGAGTTCAGCAAATGGCTAACTGGCTGCGAGATTTTGTTTGCTAGTCAGTGAACTGATTGCATAGTAGATTAGTTGGCTAGTTAATGCATGCAGTACTTATCAAGATATGAAGGTTGTACTTCCACTTGAAAGTCCTAACCATAAAGCGTTTTGCCTATGGTCCTTGCATAGCTATTGGGTGCCTTCAAACTGCACTAATCTTAGCACTTTGGAAAAGGCAGTACCAGCTGTGGTATATGTCTAAAGTCTTGACCATAAAGATGCTTCCCTACGGTCCTAACATGACTATTCTACGTCATAAGTACTGCAGTAATCTTGGCACTTTGCAAATGTTAGTACAAATATCAGTAGAAGTAGTACAGTAGTATCAAACTGGTCGTGGATAAACTAATGGCGGTAGGTAAAAGTTTTTCTTTTACCTGTAAATAGGTACGATATTACTGCCCAAAGCAATCATGAATGCATCAACACAAATTCACTGGATTATAGCTTATGGCGTTGTTGCTCAATAACTGATTCTGTTGATTAGAAATGTCTCTAGTTCGTTGTTTTACGATATTATCACTCATCAATAAGTATAAAGCATTAATTAAAGCAATTTTTGACCATTCATTTTCATCATTGTTAACGTTGGGTACCAATGAAAACTAGGCTGTCTCATACATCGTACATAAACATAATATCAATATTTTGGAATGTGTTTCATGAAAGACACTATATATGTAGTGGAACAACATAAACCTGGCATTAGAAAAGCACTATAAAATAATGTCAGCAATTCAAGAACATAAAATCTGTTTCAGAGAAAATTTATCACAAATTTTTCAATGACATATTAGAAATCAACAGTAATCCTTAATAATAATGTATTAATAGTGAATGCAACCAAGGATAGCATCATTACGTTTGCAGTAGAATCTCACTTATGATGCAACAATAATTAAATTCAGTAAGCTTCAATAAGGTATCTAATATGTTAGACGTCCTTGATAATTGACGCAGTCTCCTTCATTCGAAATAGATTTAGGGCTAGTTACCAAGCCTTAAATAGAGCATTATCACATTTCTAGGTAAGAAAAAGCAATTTGTACTACATCAATTTTGTAAGAAAAAAAAAAAACATTAGCTTGCTTCCGTTCTTAATAAAATCTAATAATATTGCAATGCTAAATAATAAGCTATGTAGCCACATACAATTGTTATTACCTAATGACATGATATTACAGCATGTACATGTTAAACTCATCGGCAGTAGCTATAGAATTTTGACAGTATTTATGTATGCAATTGTAAACTTCATTACAGTGGCCTAATACGTATGATACAAAAATTGTCGATAGTTCATGCTAGCTGGTAACCATTAAATTAAATTAATGATGTTTTGATATTTTTTAAATGATAAATTGAAATTAGCAGTTAAGTGCTTAGTTAAGCCAAATTCAGCGGTCATATTCTTTCTTAGGCTAATACAGTGTCATATCTGTTTAGCAATATCTTTCCGATAAATTAGTTATCAGACGGTTTTACAACATTTTCATTACCGTTGGCTGCTCTTGAACTTCGACATCTTGCCGCTAATGCTTCGTAGGTACCACCATTCAAGAAACATACAATGATTACTGTCATATTATCGCACCCAAGTCCTCCCATAAAGCAATCAGGTGCCAAGCAACGACTTAACAATTCTTCACAAATCTTTAGGAACAAATGTTGAATATATGTTTTTATTTTATACAATATTTTTTACTAATAGCGTCAAAAATGAGTCTAACTCAAAGGCAGTTGTAACATTTAGCATGTAAACCTTAACAACATAGCATTATAGATAACAAGTATTAGTAGTGCCTCTTACTTGCTGCAATGGTTTCTGCTCTGATATCCTATGTCTAACAAAATCAAGAACTTCTTCACTACTCAATACATCCCAAATACCTAAAAGAAAGGAGATTCATATGAATACGATTGTACAAACGTAAGAGATAGAACAGATTTAAACAATTTTAAAATTTTCTACACCGATAAAATATTGTTACTCTTTACCATCACAGGCCAAAACTATAAATTCGTATTTATTGGTTACATCGTGATCAATTACATCGGGAAAAGCTATAGAAAATTTTTGATACAAATTTTATGGATTAAATGTAGAGCAACAAGTCAAAATAAAATATTCACAAATTTTAGAGTGAATACATCCAACAACTTGTATTATTGAGTAATTAAAGTACATTATTATAATATTGATGCAAACGCAGTTTCAAGTGCTTACCAGTAACCATTTGTTCTTTAGCATTCTTGGTCTTATTTCCTTTGAAACTAAAATCACCAAGAGCTCTGGACAGGGCTAAACTACCTATACATGTAACCAAATGTATCTATAATAAGTTAATAAACTACATTTTCATCATTGCCATCAATGTATTATACCATTGAAAAATATCTTACCGTTAACTCTATTAAATTCTATCCATCCTCCAGCGGCAATAATACGTCTTGACTCTCCTACATAGAAAATAAAGTGTTCAATTATTACAGATCAATTCTTGTAAAGAATAAATTATAAGTGAGTTAGTTACCTTCATTGTTTGGTTTATGATCGAAAGAGAGTGGTACCAATTTGCCATCGACACATGCTATAGCCCTGGAGTCACCTACATTTCCCTGCAGAATATACAGTTATTAGGGTGACGATTTAATTGGACTTGTGCCCAATGAATACCATGATCACAAGCATCAGATTTATCATGTCCCAACTTACGCAGTATAGTTTTTCATCTTTAATGAGTACTGTTACAGCAGTAGTGCCAGATACTTCGTCGGTAAAATTGTCATCTAAAATTATCATACATTATGATTATTATACGCTGTTAGTGAAGGTATTCCATATTCATTAGGAGTTGTATACTTTTGAAATGATAATCATGTTACGACCATTTTTTAATACGTTCAATTTTGACGAGGTACAAAGTTACACTAACGATATCATTGGCTTAATTACCCTACCAAGTAATATGCCATCCATATAAATAGACAAGTATTGCATTAATCGTACCTCTCTGCATTAATTCATCTACTTCCAAGAAACCCTTCTTGATAGCTTCAGTAACATTACCACGTCCTTGAAATATATCAATACACAGTCGATATTAATGATACCCTACAACAGCATTAAACTAACAAAGACAGTTCCATTGAGTGAATGTTTAAAGAACAAAAACAGTTAAGATTATGTCAAGTACTGTTGATTTTTAATATTTGTACTTGAATTGAGGCTGTAAGGCGTTGATTTAGGCAGTTGGGCGAATTACGTTCAATATTTACTTGACTACTATTACCAAAGTACTGATGTACGGTGTAATAATATTGTAGTCTAACGTACAAAGTTAATCGCTATTAATTAAGGTATGTGATTGATTGTAATTTTTCAAATTTCATTCTTATTCCTGTATCATTACAATTAATAATTATTACGTTATATAATCTTATTATAGCAATTCTAATATTAAAAACATATTATTGAATTATGATCGTTTCGTTATCCGCTACCTCAACCGTACGATAATTATCCCCTAGACATAGAGTAGTGCAAGGATAGCACATCATGCTACACTTAATGATACAGATAGCAGTAAATAATAGAAGGTAGAAGTAGTATAACATGGAATCAAAATTTGAACATCTACACTACTATGGCATTGAATTGCTTTCATTTTGCTCTAATAATGATTATCCTTCTATTTGTCACGAAACAGAAGCCAAGAATTTAAAAGGATGTATAGTGTTACTTCATGATTGTACAAAATTGAACGCATGAACATAATATTAGAAAAATAACACTATAATAACATTGTATTATTTTCTTACCAAACTCTGGTTGCTTAACAATAACTTTATGGACATGACTTTCTGCATATTTAGCGACACGAGCACCTACAAAGTGATATCAAGATGGAGGATTAATATATTAAAAGTTAAAATATGTTGTTATGACAATTTTTGTTATTACAAAATTCAAGATCGACAGATGATCACCATATGTCTGTTAAAAGAGGGTAATACTGATGGAAGAAGCATTAGGAACTCTACGCCTAGCAGTAAAATCGGATTTATACTTGTATATCTTATTTAATCAAGTGATTCTATTTACATTTTTCAATTCAGCATATGCAATTATTGTGCTCACTCAGCAAATCTACAAAGTTTGTGAAAAATCAATTTCACCTATTTATTGATAAAGGCAGTGCATTGATACTCTATTCTATGGTCAATATATTCTAGGCGGTAACAATAGATTAAGTTGGATAGGGATTATCCATTAGTCAATATCTGTTAATAGTGTTGATGGAAAGTAGGATTCCATTTCATTTATAGTCAATCCATCCATTGGAACTAGGACTACTTTCCACTCATTTTGCATTTGTCATCACCATCGAGATAGGCGGTTTTATATACTATGTAAAACCGATGTATAATTAATTATTACTATTTATCTGATTACACTACAGCGTCCTGCTTTTACTTTACTGTAGAATGAGTTGTTGATAAGAGGAAATTCAGCATCTTCTTTAGTTACTTGCACAGTATCTTTTCGTGGCTTAACGTTTGGAGTAAGAAGAGAACAGCTCAGGAAGGCGTTTCTGTTCTTAGCAATCGTTTAGCCAAAAGGCAATATTTTACATCTTGTAAGGAAGGACAACATTGACGTGGTCGACAAGCACTTTACGCAGACTATCATGGCGTGTATCATTGCTGATCATGAAGAAACTCTTCCATAGCTCAAGGGATCGATTCTATCTACATATCATGTCAGACTTTTGATATATCTAATGTCCTTTTAGACAGACGTGCTTGCTGTATAGAGTCAGTTCATCTCCAAAAGTGGATTCATAATGAAGTTGGAGATTGCTACAGTACTCTAATCGTATCGAATAGTGAAAGACTATCGCAAAATATATTGTTGATTCAATGGTAAACATTAATAACTTACCGCCATGGCCATCATAAACGCCAAAAAATACATCTTGTCCACCATTCAAATTCAGATCAATAGTATGGGCATCTTCCATGTCTATGATTGTTGCATTGAGTTAAGGAGAATTGGGCATTCCAAAACAAGGCAAGATCAAAAAATGCAATACACTAATGGATGTCGCGTAGATTTACTTGCAAATTTTGCTGCCTACGATAGTTGGTAGATGCTACGTAGTAGAAATGATCAGCTAGCGATGGCAAGCGACTTTACAGTCAATAGCAAACAACATTAACGACAGCACTATAAAGCAAGTTTGATGAAATAAAGCGGAAAGAAAAATGAATGCGTTTTTAGGAATAGCATGTCCGTTTTTGGGCTGCAGTCAATTGCAGTCAGCTTGATGGCTGCTATTCTTCAATTACTGTACACAATTGCAACTGGATCAATTCAGTTCAACGAGAAATAAGAAAATAAGCAGCTAGGAATAGCCTTTCCATTTTGGGGGGACTACCATCCATAGTAGCAACTTTGATATACACGTATTATGATGCAATGTTGGATAAAATTGGAGCTTGATAAAGCAAACAAGAAATCAATCAAGGGTCTATTAGGCATGACATATTTGGGCTACAGTAAACTTGATGATTGCATTCTAAGCTGCTATCATACAATTACAAGTTGATGGAGTAAAAGGAATAAGAAAATGATCAGTTCGGGGCGACATCTACATTGGACTATTGCAAATAGTAGAGTCATTTTGATGACCGTATTACAAGTATTAAGCCATATTTGATAAAATAGGGGCTTGATGAAGCAAAAAGAAACTAGTTCATCATGCTTTAGGGATAGCATCTATAGTAGCAACCTTGATGTATTATTAAGCTAGTTTAGCAAAATGAACACTTTATGAAAGCAATAGGAAATACAGTAGAATAAGCATTTATTGGGGATGGTATCGAGCTTGGACTACAGGGAGGTTTAGACTGCAACCCATTTGTAGTAAGGCTTGATGATGGCCGTCTTATGAAACGATCATTGATAGGGAATGGCTTGTACTTTACAACTTCGTAGGACTTGGATTCCATTTCACATGTATTCCATACCGTAATTTTCAAATCATTGCAAAGGTATTGATAGAGAATCGTTCTCTATCGATAGGAGGTATTTGAGCCAATTTTATTAATTTACCATCGACCAGTCGGCTGCATTAATATCTAGTATGGCAAGATGTTGGAGGGCTTGCTTTGCAAAATGGCCGTATGATGGCTACGTGGTAATGAAGGAAGGTGTAGTCTATTTTAATTTACTTTCTATTCATTTCAATCATCATCGTTATTCATTTTTACTCTATAATAGAAAAGTCTTTCCATGTGGAATTTATTCTACTGCAATGGCTTTACAGTATTGCTATTTCCCCATTGATTGAATTAAATTGAAAGTCGAGAATGGATCAGTATGTCAATAGGACTGATGGCTATCCTTCATCTTTGGCTGACTACGCGGATATTATTCTCGTATTAAGGTTCACAATTATTAATTCGAACTATCGCAAGGTACTAGACAAATTCAATGACGATTGAGTTGATGGATTATTCTGATAGAATAACAAGCCATAGCAATCGAAATGACACTGCAATCACGCTACAACGAGGCTATTTCCCCTCCAATTATTTCCTCCAAAGTAGAGCATTGGTCGGCGGTAATGGCACGGCAATAAAATGAATCACTCTCGTTCATCGATGGTCGACTACGTGGACAGTTATGAGCAATCATCAAGAAAAATTATCCATCCATAAGGTACTAGTATGGAATGAAATAACTATTGAACTGGTTCATTGGATAAGAGTTTTATCGTATCCTTGATAGAAATGAGAAAAAACATGATCCAATGCGTGGAGGTAATCACGCTGTTTGAACACATTTTCAACGCAATGCAATGAACTGTGGGTCAAGTAGGTTAGACCTTTTTTTTTTCAACCAACAACATAAATACGATGACTACGATCAGAACAAGGAGAATATATAATACAGGAATAAGGTTAAAAACTAAATTACTTGTATCATGCTGTTGTTGACTATTGGAAATGAAAGGATACGTACTCGCCATCCTTGCATACAAGATGATGCAACTTGGTAGTTTGCGTTATAGGATATCGTCGTTGTTTTTTCGGTTATTGGCTCGGATAATGTTTGACCCATTTTGTTCTTTCCAATAAAATGGCTGGCTTTCAACGCTGTAATACTGGACATAGAATGAAAATAAAAATAAATCAAAAAAATTCATTTTCTTGACTGTATGAAGGACGACGACTGTTCTATCAAGACAGAGCAAGACATGAAGTTATGGCCACTACAGTAAATCGGTTGCCGATGTAGACAGACAACATTGAATGAAAGTACGAGATTAGTCAAGATAGGCAGCGCATGGATTAACATGAGAAAGAAAGAAAAAAATTCATTTCTCATCCTGATGGTTAAGCTAAGGCGAAACGTTATCGTGATGGATAGCCATGTCCTCGCTACATGGCATGCATAGAAATCCATTTGAAATGCAATCCACAATTATGCTTATTATCCAATTATCATTTGTAAGCTTGTTGACACTTTACATCTTCGTTGTCATTGCTGCAGTGATTTTGATTGATGGTAGAAAGTGACTTTCAGTCCTTCATGATGGTTATCCTTGCCGCTACCGACGGCTATGTTATTTTATTTCAAGATGGAAATTGAAAACAAATACAACATCATGGCCGCAATGATGGATTATGAGTACTACGCCGCCCTGTGCAATGATTGCAAACTTATAACGAGTCTGATCAATGCCGTGATTGTCAAGGTTAGGAAAATAAATCACTTTCTCGGCCCTTTCTTCTTGATCTATCGTGACTGACAGCGATCTTTTGGCGATCAAGTGTGGAAATGGATTTGCAATACTCATGCTCATCTTCAACTGCTATGGTTGGTTCTTTCTACCCCGATTAGACTCGTCATCATTATTGGCTAGTCTAACATCCCATCGTATCGTTGTTAGGATAAGCAAGAAAAATAAATTTCAAGCTAGGGAATGGACTTTCTATCCAATCGAAAGTAATGTCATCGTCTGCTTACAGTCATTTCATCCAACGCCATGATCGACTACAAGATTAGTAGCGGTAAGAGAGAAAAATTCATTTCTCCTCTTGATGATTACTACTGTTAGGGACTTGTTGTAGTAGACAATTTCTCTTCCAAGTCCCTACTGGTGAATTATCCAAGGTAGGACTGAATGCAGTCGATGGCAGCGGAAAGAAAAAAAAAAAAATAATGTAAAATCGATTTCTCCTCTTGCTTGCTAGCATCGTTGCCGCCGTCGCTACCGACAACAATGTTGTTGGTGATGATGGCCTTGCAAGCTTGGCAATGGACTAATCCATTGCCAAAATCATGCCATCATCCAACTGAATGGATATACCATGTTGAATAATTAATGGTGGCATCGGTAAAATGCCAGTTGCGGGTAAACTGATTTGTCTTTGGTCAATGGTATCCAACTCGATTGGCTATGATAGCCATTCTCAATTCATCGTATGTCGTAGTCAGCGATAGGAAATCCAACTCTATTTCTCCTTTTGATGGAAATGGATTGTACTTGCAATTGGAATCCAATATTACGACATCGTCCAACCTGCTCCTGTGATGGCCATAAGTTGGCCCATCACAACAGATTCCTATCGTCTGTTCTTGTCAGCGTTAAGAAATCCCCCCCCCCCCAAAAAAAAAACTCCACCTCTCGATTATTGCCATCGCTGCCAACAACGATCTCATTTGCGATGGGCTTGCAAGCTTACCAGTGGATTGTCATGGCTATCCACTGGTAATAGGTAAAGTGCCGCCATCTTCATCCAAGCGCCACGGTGCCTTCTGCTTAGGGTACCGTGGCAAAAAGTAAATGGATGCGATCGATGGGGTAATGATCAGCGGTAAAGAAGGAGAAAACAAAAAAAAATGAATGCTTGTACATGATTGCATCTTAAGCATGGAAATACCTTGCACTCCATTGAAATACAACATGAATCAAAGCGCCATAACTGTACGATGCGAGACTAGACTACAATTTGTCGACATTATTACATTGTTGTTGGACAAACAGGAACAAAATGATGTAGCAAAAATCATCAAAAGATTGAATAATCATTCTATTGTTAGCAAAATGGGGGATAATGTTGTATTAATTAAATACAAGTTGTCATGTTAACTACTTTTGCTGCTGCTGCTGTACTTTGGATAACAATGCAGTTATTGTAGACAAGAAGAGATGAAAATACAATGTATTCTCCACCAGTTGATCCATTTGCGATGGCTATCGCCACTTGACATGGATGAGGATGGAGGAAACGACAACAACTACGACGATTGCTTTTGGTTTGGCATTTTTGAGTAGACTCGATTTGAGCAAGGTGCTTGATGGACTGTGCAATCGATGAAAATCCATCTTAGCAGGCGAGAGGAAAGTCCTTCTTGAGTAGCAATGTCCCAACGATTGCTTTTGGCTGTTTCAGCCATTTTTGAGTAGACGCTATTTGAGCAAGGTGATGGATGGACTGTGCAATCGATGAAAATCCATCTTAGCAGGCGAGAGGAAAGTCCTTCTTGAGTAGTAATGTCCAACGATTGCCGTACCCATCGCTCGACAACAGCGATGACGGAAAGGTACAATTATGCCTCCCCCCCACCCCAAAAAAAATATCAAGATAAAATACTATCCATGACATGACTGTGATTCAAATAGTGCAATATCTTGTCCCAATAATTCCACCACAAAGGGTAGACAAGGATTGAAATGGACTGAAATTGATTCCTACTCTATTTCAAAGGCTAGCGTATCTTGACGGGACAGTAAAACCATGTCGTCTTTGCTTAACGTTGGCATCCATTGTACCCATGGGTCATGAAAATGATTCCTACGCTATTTTCACAGGCTATCTTGACAGGATAGTAAAACTATTTCATCTTTGCTTAACGTTGGATTGTCATCGAATGGACCTGTAGGTCATGAAATGGCTATTTCAATCGCCGTGTTTGGATGAGATAGGCGACATGGTTGAGGAAACCCCTTCGGACTGGGTGTTAGAAACGATCAACCATTTCAATCAATCTTTAGGCAATGGCATGCAGAACTTTCTCTCACTTTATTGCAACCCATGTCTTGACGAGATGGGCAAGAATAGTTCAATCCAATCATGGTCATGTCATGCTACAGTAGTTTAGCAACTTCTTTTCTGACGTTGCTTATGGATGATTGAAAAAAAAAAAAAAAAAGGAAAAAAAATGAAATGGTAATCTTTGTACAAGAGGATCGATGCTTGCAATGACAAAACCTTCAACCAAGTCTGTTTTTCCACTTGCACTAATGACTCGTTGAATACCCATGATTAAGGCTATTAATTAGTCCCACTCTTGATCCGATAGAATAAGGAGGGAGGGAGGGAGGGAGAGAGAGTGGAAGAAGGATTTTTTTCCTTCAGCCAATGGTCAACATGATGATTATCCATCTTAACTTGCTAGAAATCAAGCTGTACATGCCTAAGCGATGCTGTCTACCGGGGGCCCTAGTCTACGCGTTGACTTTCTTTCCATCATGCCGATATTGTAACATCCACTATTTCAATGGAATGATAGCAAATCAAGATGGCATACCGTTTGTTAAGAAGAATTGATCAAGGCCATGCAAATAATCCCCCAATTGCAATGAGTACAACAGTATAGTCAATCAAGTTAGCTACAATATTGTCCTATTGACATACTAGAATATTGAAAAAGTGGGCACAGTTTGAATTAATCCCCAAGCAAAATGCTGATCCACACTTGGGAGCCGAGACTATACCATCGTCCAAAGATGCCATGGATATTTGTTCAAGGTGGCGATTTTGGGCTACAAACAAGTGGAGCAAGCCTCTTGTTATCCTCCATTGCCTTGGCGATGAGGGTTGGAGTGGAAATTGTGATTTACTACGCATAGGATTGCATAGACGAATGATTGATTGTTTCTCGTCTTGTTGATCTACCATGTTGCTGTAGCGGATCGGCAAAGAGTCTCGTCTACCTTTCAAGGCGATTGGGATTCTTTTTTTCCCCTACTCTATTCGAGTATCCAGCATGGCGTAGGATGATGATCCATCCTGCCTAGTTTTGTGTTGGCGTAGGCTATTCCATTTTTTTCTCTAGTTGAAGCCAGTTGTTTTCCTACCTCATTCAATCTGTCTCTATTTCATCCTACGCCAAAGTTGCGCTAATCTAGCTGGCAGCAACTTGATGATGACGATGAGTGTAGGTTGCAACGATGGGGTAAAATCGGACCTTTGGCCATCTTTTCTAATCTTGTATGAGTATAGGTGTACTTTACGTTAATTTGCGAGAGATTTTGCCTTCCATCGTCTACTCTATAGGCATGGATCGAAAGTGGCTTTCAGATGACAATGTTTGATCCACCAGTACGCCAGGGATTTGTCCAAATTTCCCCTTGAAAAGTCGCTGAGTATGGCGATACTAAACTAGCCACAACTTGTCATCGTCGATTCCACTCCATCACCACCATCAACGTATTAGCAATGGCATCCAAGAAGATTTTTGCAGTCATCCTTTGTAGTCTAGTATACGTATGTCCACTTGTATTTTGGGGAGAATTTTGCTTTCCATCGGCCAGTCCATCGCCATTGACCTAATTTCCCTTTTGGGGGCCGATTGTGGATGGAGTATATTGGATTGTCCATGACAACAACTTGTCACCATTGATTGTAAGCGATCAGGGTATTAACGATTGGCATCCAATAGGACCCTTTTAGTCTTGTAGTTGTGTCCAATTTGTGGTAAAGTATCCATGCGTTGATTATTGGCATGGTTTTGCCTTTTCATGATCCATTACCAAGCGCTACCATAGCCAATGATCTGCCATCGCTTTTGATCATCCAATATGGATACGTCAAATTGGCTAACAACAACTTGTTATCGTTGATTCAACTGGATCAGCCTATCCACGATGGTATCCACTAAGGACCCTTTAGCCATCCTTTTACCATGGTTTTTCCATGTGTTTGTGTATCTATTTTGGGGAAGGGGTTTTCTTTCGCTTTCCATCGTCCTCGATCTAATGTACCTTTCAAACTAGCTGACAACAACTTGCCATTCAACTGAACTCCATGATGGGATCGACGATGGCCATA